ACGTATTGTTGTCAGCAACCTGGATGGTGCACTGCTCGTAGCTCCCATAGAATCTCCGCGGAAAGCTGCTGGTGGTGATGCATTGGCTCTCGGGCAGAATTTCGCATGACCTCATGCGTGAACGGCTGTCGAAGCCGCCAACATACCCGCACAGTCGAGCTGCTTCTCCGCATGCAATGTGGTAAGCTGCTGCCAAAATAATACAGCTTCTAAGGGCCAAGCCCGGATGAGACAAACCATGCCGCTGTCGCAATACTTACCTGGCAAAAGGAATAGAGTGCAAGCGATAAGACGCAGAGGATGAACGAAGGCGGCTCCTAACAGCTACAGCGGCCGGGCCTGATACGCGGAGAGGTGGCTTTGAGAATCTGCGCACTGAGTCTGCCAACCAGAATCTGGCGGCAGAACCGCCTGACTGTCGGCCCTCCTTGGAAGGGGCTTGGACATTCAGCCGCGAAGCCCTAGCGGCAAATTCGAAGAGTCCCGAACAAGAAGATTTGAAAACCTTCTCCGAGCTTCGAGTAGAACTCGCATGGCTCGGCACCATCAAGATCGTTCGAGCTTCTGTCATTGGGGGCAGTGCTTTTCAAGTACCATGCTGCGCCGCAGTGCTCATCGTACCACAGGTACACAGCATAGTGCATGATGATGTTCTCGTACTTGTACCAAGGTCTTCCGAGCCGTGTCCAACCCTGAAACGCATAAACGCCACTGAGCGAAGAGCGGCAGTTGCTGTGGACCCGCAGGTACTCGAACACATTCGCCTGAAACACAGCTTCTACGAGTAGAGGCTAGAGGCAAACGGAAAGCATCGATATCCAAACCAATGTCCAGGCTTAATCATGCCGACTCTTTAAGAATCGGCAATTTGCGACATCGGCCTAAGACAATTCGTTACGCTCAGAGATTGTGATCGCATGAAGGCATGAACATGATATATCAGTTATTTCTTGCGTGCCCCTAACGGGAACATACAAATAACATGCTTTATAATCCCTCGGAGTTTTCTTATAATAAAAGACTTTCAGCTCATAGTCATAAGAACCCACAGACTTAGGAAAGCACACTGCCCTTTGCCGTGACCAAACTCAAGCAGGCGGCAGGACGAGTTGTAGTTCTTGTGGTCGTCTCCTTTGTTCATGGTCAATTGGTCAACTAGATCACCACCGTAGACACTGGAACGGAGCAAAGCAGAAGCTAGCGTGCCGGAACAGTCACTAAGCATTTCAATCCTAAGCCGAATGAGTAAACAACACGTGACACATTGCATGGGTCGCTAATAGCAACGCCTGGTGCATCGTCCGGCATGTTGCCATTACTTTCCATTCATGTGATCAACGATCTTTTGCTGTGTTCTTCAAGAGCCCGTCTCCTCTAGGCTAAGGGTCCTCCGGGTTAGTGCGTAATGCTTCTACTGTACATGAAAGACAACAAGGAATTTCAGCCTAACATCACGAGCTAACCTGCAGCACTGCATCCGAGGCGCAACCCCCGTACCCATGCCAAGATTTTGTGCACGCATTCATGCATACATGTGTGTATGTATGTGTAATGTACGTATGCCTATGCCTATGTAGACATATAATCATTGCCTATGTAGACATATAATCACATAGATGTGGATGTAGATGTTGGTGTCGATGTGTAGATGTAATGTAAGCCTAGGCAAAAGTACACGTACAGGTATGGCCATGGGTATAGGCAAAGGCACAATCACATGTATAGGCACAGGGACAGACACAGACGCGGGCATAGAGGTTGGCATGGGTACGTATGGGTAAGGATATAGATAAAAGTGTCGGCATAGGTATAGGTATACGTCTAGGTACATGTGCATGTGTACCTGTATTTGCATCTGTGTATGTATGTGCATGTTTGTGTTGTGTGTGTGTTTTTTATGTTTATGGAATCCTTTATGTATGTGTACTTGTGTATCCATGTCTGTGTCTGTTTTTTGTGGCTGAATGTGCGTGTGTCTGTGTCTGCGTCTGTATATGTATGTATGTATGTATGTATGTATGTATGTATGCATGTGCACCTGCAATTTGTCAATGGCAGATGGCAAGAGGATACGCCACGGATCTCGGATGGCATTGACTGACGATCATCCCTGGCAACCGACGAAAATAAGTTTTGGTGCACTCCCAGCCCTTTAGGGCCATCCCAGCACTTTACAATATTTGTAGCCTTTTGCAGCAAAGACTAGTAGTCCCAGAGTCCTGTATCAGAAAGGTCACAACAACGAAGATCGAATCCGCAATGATCCGGGCCGAGTGGAGTAGAAACGAAATCGCAAGGCTGGCCTGTCCATCATGCATGTACAGGGAATGTCAGTTTCACGTCCGCTGTGGACAGAAAGATGCCCAAGGGAGGACGTGCGCGCGTCGAAAAGCTTCAGTGGAAATACTTCCTATGGGGATTCCGAGGGGCCAGGTGCACAAACATCGCAGGGTAAACAACGATGCACTCCTGGCCCCTTCAAGCCATCCCAGCACTCTACAGTGATTGAAGCCTTTTGCAGGCAGCAAAGACTACTAGTCCCGAAGTCCCGTATCAGAAAGCTCACAAAGAACTTCGAATCCGCAGCGATCCGAGCCGAGTGGGATAGGACAGAATTTGCAAGGCTGGCCAGCTCATCATGCATATACAAGGAATGTCAGCTTGACTTCCGCTGTTGACATCAAGATGCCCGTGTTGCCTAACATGGATACACTAAGCGTTCTTATGCACAGCAAGAAAACACTTGAATGAAACGAAAACTCTACTGCGTGCGCTCCGAGCTTTCCGGCACGTTGCATCGCTCACTTTGCTGTGCTGTAGCAGCATTCGGCCCGGGTTCATGTAGCGCTGCACGGAGCGCGAACACTTCCATCTGCCACGAGCTTGTGCGCCGCAAAAATCTCAAACTGCATGGTATGCGTCTTGACTGGCCCGAAGTGCCGAAGAATACGCAGAGTGAGGTGCAAAGAATGGCGCAAGCGAGATCTCTTTCGAATACTGCTCCAGTCACAAATTGTCGAAGAGAATTGAGCCCGATTTTGCACGAAGGAACAGCCACTTGAGGAGCTGGTCAACATCTCTTCACGAAACAGTGTCTAGAAGAACACAGTCGTCAAGCTCTCCCGCTTTGGTAGGTTCTTAATCCTCGAGCCATGCAACTATGATGCCTCACGCATCTGGACGTCTTGAGGCTTGGGGCTGAATCACATGACTTCGATGCAATCCCAGAAGCTCACTAGGTTGAAGATATGTGTCACTGTGTCACCTTGCACCACAATGCCGGCAGCTGTGCAATAAAATCCGCGACAAGATCCCACAACATCAGGTCCACACCAGCTTTAGAACATGATGGAAAACGCGACTTCCGCACTTTGACAGCTTGCTATGAGAAAGGCAATTGAAGCTTTTCTGGTAAATGCAGGGTTGACCTGAGAAGAGCCCAGCCATATATCACAAATTTAGCATCAGTGATGCTCCTACAATCTTCGCAAAGCCGCGTATCAAGATGGTCATGGCTTCATCCAAGAGCCTGTGGTTGGAACAAGCTCTATCTACTGGCCGCGACGCACCATTCTTCAAACTCCTCCACAGCAGCTGAATACGGCTCAATGTGTTTTTGGCTTGACTCGACTGGCCTGCTAGTGTTCGTACCTTGGGTCTGGCCTGCGCACGTCCTACCTTGGGCTTTGGCTCGTCGGCGGAGTTCTTTTCGTCGCCGGCGACGGGCTTCGGCCTCGGCGTTTGAGTGCTGCCCGAATGCGATACGGTCGAGGAGTTTCGAACCCTCGTTTGGACGGCATTGTCAAACCACCAGCTGAGCTCTTTTGACGCTTTGTTAGCTTGCTGGAGCCACCCCTCGATGTCCAAGTAAATAATCTGCTCCGAAACATGGTGCTAACATGAACTGATCGCGGCGGCCCACGCATCGCAAAGCCTGAGAGGATAAGCCCCCTGTGCGAGCAGTTCAATTGTAGAAGCAGCTGCAAGCTCTCTCATCATAAGGGCTCTTAACACGACTATATTTATATGGCCTGACGAGAATGCACACAATCAGACTGGAGCCCTTTCAGTGCCAGGCAGTTTGTGACACAGTTGTGGGATGTTTGCATGCATCAGTTTAGCTGCACATGACGAGTGAACAAAGAATACTCCAGCCGTGCCGCACAGCTCCTGCAGCTCGCATCCCACAGGTTCGCGCTCCTGGGCCCTCACATGATTCGTGATGTTGCGCCTAGCCCGTGAGAAAACCGTACATGGAGTACCAAAGTGTATATTGGACGCCCTTGCTGACCACGACTTTCTTACCGAGATCTTGCGTTGATCGTCTCGTCAAATCGTGTGTCGAAAATGAAGATATGTGATTCGGGGGCAGCGCTGACTCGCGAAGGCGCCGAACTACAGATCTTGCGAGCACTTCCCGCAAACAACTCCCGAAAAGAACCAAGCATTTGATTCACTTGACTCTTCGCACCAACCAAACTGGTACATCTGATCCTGACGGCGTGGGCGTAGGTAAACCACCCGTAGCTCGGAGTGAGCCTCGGCCATCATCTGATTCACCCTGATGTGAAACCCGTTTGGCTATGCGAAGAGGTCGGGGATACGACTTGTGCTGGCTTTGCAGAATGATGTTGAGCTGCGTTTGCGTGAGTTGTTATTCAAGCCATCTCGACGGAGCATCGGCTGCATTTCGTTTTGTCTCAATGTGTTTGAGTCGCCAACAATCCCCGTTCCAGCCGGAAGAGCACCGGCAATTCGGCATAGGCGGTTCAAGCTTGGCCGTGAGGATCTTTCCTCTTCGAAAGCTATAATACAACAGGAAAATTGTCGGGGATCGTGAGCCTGCTCAGGCCACATAACGAACCCGAGCGGTTCATTTGAGACTCGAAAGCGCAACTCTGCCCTCCTTAATACCGATATGCTCATCGGGATATCGTCACATTTTTGCCCAAAGAAGTCTGAACGAATTCGGCCCAACAAGATCAGAGTCCAGAGGCGCTACAAGGGCTGGGGTCTCAACATCCTCGCGCTTTGTGCGCCGAGCCTCCTGCAACCAACTATCGTACTCAGTACCCAGCCCGACCCCACTAGCACCACAGGACGGAACCACTCTTTCAAGCGCAGTCTCTAGAGTCGCAAAGTCCTAAATAGCTGCCGAGCCTGAAAGGCCTTCAGGCATAGGGAGAGAAGATGGTGTCAAGGTTTGGTTGTCGAGCCAGACGTGCCACCGTTTCATTTTCGAAGAACAGGGCCCAAGTCCACCCCCTCGGCATAACACCAATCACAGGGTACAGCACGTTGTCACCCCGCACTGGGTGAAATCTGTCACTCTCTTCACTATACGCAGACACAACCATTAAACCGTACTCAATCCAGAAAGATGCGTTTCGGGGCTCCAAACCAGGACGCGATTTGACAAAGTTCGAACTGATCAAAACAATCTGAAACATCCGTCTCAGTACCCCTGCCAACAGGGCCTTCACCGCGATCTGCGAGGTGCCGTAGGCCTTCTTCAGAAAGATCTAAATCGCCATAGTTGACAGAGCT